AACAAAATAAAACAAAACAAAACAAAACAAAATAAAACCCATCCTCACCTGCCTAAAAAGCATTAGCTAATAATGGGTCATACTTTTCATAACTGTGAGCTCAAAAATGTAAACTTTGCAAATTAATGTAACACTTTCCCACAGATGCGCAGAGAGCCCATGTTTGAATAATCCATTGCATACACACGTATGCCCGAGGGTATACTTCTCTGGAGTCCTGTGGTGGGCGTGCAGTGGCTCTCAGAATTGCATAGGCCCCGGACAGTCCAAAGATCCTCCCGGATAGGAAGGGCAGCACAGGGCCCATCACCACAAACTGGCATTTAGAGACTACGCATTTTAATTCATGAGGAAAAACCACTTGTATGATCTCTACAAGCTGCCATAGGAGCAAATAAAGGATCACTGGTTTTGGCACTACAGGGATACGTGGAGTACCACAATCAAAAAGTCCGGCTTCTTTCACACCCGGAAGATAAAGTCACAAAAATTTAAAAGCTTGGTAAAACTTAAACAGTGATAAATTGTTTAAATTCAAAATCTTGTCCAAACCAAAGTTTACAATGGACCCCAAATGAGTATAAAATAGAAATATTCAAAATATCCCTCTAGATAATTTGGACTTTTATTTGATGAGTTTATGGGTCTCTCGGACCCACTGTTCCTAAAATGTAGCTGAGTCAACTGAATTAATTTCCAAGGTGGGGCATTTTAAACTTCAATTTCTTTTTGCTACAAAACTAAATCATTACTTTAAAAAACTTATCCAAGCCTTCTAAAGGTTTGGGATACATTCATAGGTAGACTGCTGGTTACAAATCAACTACCAGGAATCTTACTTAAATAACTATGCATATAACCCTGAATTCATGAAATCTAGACTGAGAAGATAAACAGTTCATCAACTGAATTACTGGGCCTGTTTCTTTACCTAAAACATTACTGTGAATACCTAGAAGCTACTGACTAATTTATTAGTTCAGCTTTTATAAACACCCATTAACTAAAGAATTCATGGCACCCAAATGAGGAGAAAAAACTACCTTGTCCTCTTTCCCTTCTGGCTGCTCACCCTAGACGGGAGGTGAGGAGAGCAGATGAGCCAACTCACTGCGCTTCTTAGAAAGGTGTGGTCTAGCGAGCCCCTGAAATGTGAACCGGGCCTGGCCATCTCGCCAAAGATAAACCATTAAGAACCCAACAGGCTACTGAAATAGCTGGAACTGACAATCAATCTGAGTTAGCTACAAGAAAATGCTAATTCAGATACCCATCTAGTGAGCCAAGTTCTGAGGAATGACACTTGGCTGTTCGACTTCTAGTACCAATTCCAAACAATGACACACATATGCTTACCATATTGCTAAAAACCACCAAACCCTTGTATTACCAGTATGTGCTGGGAACTTTACATGGCACCCTAAAAAAGAGCAAAATTCCACTTGCAAGAGGGCCACCCAGTCCTCCCACTCCAGATGGAATAGCCGCCTCCCTACCCTCATGGCTCAGAGCATCGGTGCCATATGACAGGCTTTCTGAGCCACACATACATGCACACACAAACACAGGTGCTGGGGTTGCCACCAAAGCAACACCACACACACAGTTCAAGCACTCAGTGCAGAGTGTCAGGGTAGCAGGAAGCAAGAACGTGGCAACCGGAGAGAAAGGTGACAGAGCAGAAAAGCTGGGTCACCTGCTTTGCTTTCTAAAGCATGACATGACAAGCCATGACAAGAAGACTGGCCTGGCCCCTAGGGTCAAGGAAGAACTAGCTCGGTGGCCTGGAGGAGAAATTCTGAACTGGGATGAGAACAAGTGAGTGGGGGGCTCAAGCCACTTGAAGATGTTCAAAGCTGAACAAGATCTCTCTTGTTCTGCACATATGCCCAAGTCCAGACAGGAGGAATTCTGAGTCAGGAGCAGCTGGCACACATGGGGAACCCCTCCCCAGGCAGCCCTGATCCCCCTGGGCACCTACACCTACAGAGCCATGTTGAACAATGAAGGACAAGTTGGCCATGTTCAACAGTGAAGGCCAATGATACTCACCACTTCCCTTCACAGCCAGGTCTCCCTTCCTCCTAAGAACACTCCACCTACAGCCCTCACCCTGAGTAACTCAGTCAAAGGACTCCTGGGAGGGACCAACGATCCCAGGAGAAAACCTGGCTGATGCAAGCCCCTAAGGACCATGTCCAGGGCCTCTGCTGGCCCATCAAGAGTTCCTTATAGGACAGTGTGACACAGTGGCCTCTGTACCACTCATTTCCTCCTTCTGTTGCTCATTTCTGTATTTCTCTGGCTTAGGATGTCTTCCCAGTGATCATGGACGTTTTCAAACAGAACACACTCTCTCCCAAAGTCCCGCCCACAGCCAGGAGCCTGTGTGGATGGAAGAACACCAGAAAGGAAGGAGCAAGGATCCTTGGCCACTTCCCTCCCCTGACTTGGCCACCCTCTCACCCTAGGTGGGGCAGCCTCCCCCACAGGCAGGCAAAATGATGTGTCAGACTCCTACAAGTCTTCCACAAGAGCCTGTGGGGATGGGGGTGGGGAGTAGTTCTCTGAGCTCTCCAGAAGCGGACAATACATGAAATTTTTGTGGAAAAGAACACAGACAGAGGCCCTATAACCCAAAAAAGCATAAACCAGTGCTCTAAATGGTTCACTCCCCAAAGAATACATGACAACACACAGACACTTTATCTGAGGGAAAAGACCCACCCAGGCTCCCAGGGGCATGCCCTAGAAAAAGATTACCCACCTTCTTCTGCCATCAACAGCACTCAAGGATACTGCCTGATGGGTGCACTTTACACCACAGCATAAGGGAAAGGCAGCCTGAAGCCCAAAGAACTGGTGCTCCCAGACTCCCCTTTCCCCAGCCACACCACACAAGAACCACCTCCAGACATTCTGGTGCCAAGGCCCCAAAGCCACCACAGCAGCTGAGCACAGGGTTGGCAGAGGGAGCTCACCCAGATAAAAGGCATGTAGGCCAACGGGAAGGCCTGCCCTGTCGGTACTGCGAGCTGACCAGCAAGGCCCACACCAAGGCCACAGCTCAATCCTCCACAGCCAGGCCAAACACATCAAGCCAAAATTGTTACAACAATCAAGCCAAAAGAAAAATCACCCAGAGGAAATCTAAAACCAAATGGAGAGGCAGGGTTTAGTGTTCCACACTGGGTAGGATGAGGGATCTGGTCATTCCTATGGTGAATCAGCTATATCTGTTAGTGGTTTATTTGTCGCTGAGGGTGAAAAGCAGAGGCCAGAGAAGTAGAGATGCACTGCCTGAGGTGAAAGCTAAAGAAATTAGATATGGCACTTTTCAATAAATATTTTAAAGCTTTTTAAAGAAATAAGTGGAAAAGAAAAGCAACTGCTGTAAGGCCTGTTTTGCTGTTAAAAATTATTCCGAGGGAAGAAAAATACCACAGCACAAAATAGTTAAAAAAAAAAAAAAAAAGACAACACAGCTTACGAAACAAAAAAACACACACACCAAAAAACCTGTCCCTGTAACCACCTTGACTAGCTCAGAGCTTGACCCATGAAGCAAAAACAGAGCTCTGAGAGGGACACACACTCACCTCCCACAGCACCCTGTGCCCAAACACAGAAAAAAAGGGACACAGCCAAGTGGCAGGCCCGATGCACATGGCATGCCAAGTGGGGAGTGTGCGTGCTCAGACTGTGACTCCAGGGCACAGTGAGAACTCGCCACTCCGGACACACCACTCTATCACAAACTGTCCCAAGTCACAGTGTGGACTCACAGAGACACTACCGGCCTCCTCCACGATTGCTGCTGCTCAAGGAAAATCACCTCAAGCACACCTAAGGGCCACGGTCTAACCAAATTAAAGTGGGGTTACCTGTCATTCTGAACACCGACCAACCACATTGAGGGAAAGATCTGAACCTCCATTCAAGTCAAGAGGAGGCACCCCTCTCCCCTTCTCACCCAGGTCCACCTCTTCCCATTGCTCACCAACTCAACCACCCTCAAAATGAAAGAGATCCAGTTTTTAAATAAAAGTCTCAAGAAACCAGAGGGAAACGCCTTCACAAACAAGAGTGATGAATGCCCAGACGGCCCAGACAGCCAATCTACAGTTGTACAATTATTTACAAGGGGGCGTTATCAAACAAAAATGGTAGCACTCCCTAGAAGACTCACACTTTTTTTCTTTTTCTCTATTTCTTTTAAACTTTGTCATAAAAGCCAACTTACATTAAAATATACTTACTACGAGACAACACAACTAATAAAATATATAATAAAACTTACACAAGTAGAAAATTCTGAGGTATTTCTGGTTTGAGGTGGTCTGTGGTCGTGAAGTTTTAATTCTTTTACTTTTCAAAATTTAAACCTCGGAAGCCACATCGCAAAGCATGTGTGTATATGTGGATGTGTGTTTCGTTTTTAAAAAAATTTGCATGTTTCATAAATTAAAAAAATTCAAATGTTGAAACAGCAGCATAAGAACATTCACTGACTAGAGCAAGGTTATGGCATAATAGAGAAACAGTTTTTAGAATATGCACCTCTTTGAGGGGTCTGGAGAAAGCCGTGTGCACGAGACATGTGAAGGGACAGCAGTGTCACCACACAAGGCAGAGCCAGCGCCACAGGACGCTCTGGTCTCCCAGGCAGGCCGCAGCGGCCCCGCCCAGGGAGCCCTCTTGCTCTGGCTGTGCAGGGCGCCCGGTGGGCATTTCCCTGACCTGTGCCAGGAGGAAGCAACGTGTTTGAACTCTTTCCTCCGTTACTATTTACAGCATTGTCTTATGAAAAACACAATCACTAAAACATGATGATTTCTACCCTTGCCTAACCTTAAAATGAGGGCAGAGAAAACGTTCTGTCCAATGCCCAAGCCCAAGTCAGCGGGAAGAAACTGGTCAGGGCCAACAGATGGGTCAGAGCCACACCTGCCTTCAGACTTTCTCCAAACCCCTTCTCGAGTTAATGCTCGGCCTCCACACGGTCCTTCCCCTCGATTCCTGGTTACCTGAGAAGTAGCCTCCTAGCAAAGGATGTTGCTCCGAATGTGCCCGAGTCCAGTGTAGCTCTGTTCCAAACCCCATCCCCAGCTCTGTCCTCCCCTTCCAACTCTGGTCCAAACCATCCTCGTTGTCATCCCAGTTTTTCCTCGGTCAGGACAACACCCGTTAATCCGTGAAAGACACATCTGCTGTTTCTTAAACTCACTGTCTAAAAAGGGAGAAAAACAATAAGGGCGGGGGTGGGGGGGCGAGGGCAGGGGGAAATTCCTCCTCTGAGGAAGGTGTGTTCTTAATGTAACAGTCTTCAAAGGTTCCTCTAGGTAGAGTTTGCAGCATTAAGTTTCCTAAGACAGGAGATGGGTTTCTTTGTGTCACAGATTCTGAGACAACAAACAAAGAGAAAGCGGGAAAAATGAACCCCAAGGGACAGGAGGTGGCTGAGGCTCTTCAGCATGGCGCTGGTTCCGCATTCACAGCTCAGCACCTCAACGCCTGCTGACGCGTCCGCTGTTTGCGATACAGTAGAGCAGTGTGCTGGTAAAAACTGATCCAATCCAAAAAATAATATTAATAATAATAATTATAATAATTATAATAATAATAAAAAGTCAAGGTAAAATAGCAGCTGCATTTCATGTGTTTGTTGGTGTTACGGGATTTCCAAAACAAAACACAACTTTTTCCTTTCCTCTTCAGATCCACTCGTGTCCTGGGCTTATTAGATGCTCGACTCCTTAGGGGGCAGGTCCACATTGGTGACGGAGGTCACCAGGGAGACAAGACAGTCCGAGGTAGTGCCGTTGACCGACCTCCGGATCAGGGATACTCGCTCCTCCACGCAGCCCGCAGACAGGCGAGCCTCTGCGTCATGGTCCCAGCACTCCTCGATGGTCACGCAGAGCTGGGCCAGGCCCTGCACATTGGTGCAGAGAGGGAAAGGGGAAAGGACAGCACTGTCAGTGGCCCTCAGCAGACAAGCATGGGGGACAGGTGAACTTGAGGATGTACCTGAGGATCAGGCAGAGCCCAATGGTCCCAACCCTAGCAGGTCAGCTAGCAGAGGCCCAGGGGACCTTGCAGGAATCAGGACGCCTTCCCTCCCAGCAGTTACCATCCTGAGCCCGCTGGCCTCCCTCCACAGCCTCAGCACAGGAAGGGACAGGGCGGGTAACGCAGGCCGCTCCTGGGGCAGACCCAGCTGCTTGCCTTGGGGCAGTGACATTCAAACATCTTACATGAATCTCAAATCATGCAGGGGCCCACCGTGCATAGCTTCAGTTACAGTGGGGACCACAGGGGTGCTTCACCCCACCCATCCCACTTCCCACAACCCCCAGGGCCCCTCCCGAGAATCTGGGGCCCCTCCCGAGAAGCTGGGGCACATGGCCTGACACCCTCCACTGGCACACACACAGTGGAGCCAGGAAAAGCCAATGCCCATATCCAAGGCGTCTCTGGCCTGCTCAGCACCAGACCACACTGAGATCTCTCTGCACCTTGCGCTCCTCATCAGGGAACTGGCCTGGCCGCCAGTTCTGCCCTGGAAGACTGAGAAGTCTGAGGCAGAAGGGACAGACTCTGGCCCAGCCTATATGTCCCCATGTCTCAGTTTTCTCCATCAGCAACCCCAGATTCCAGGGGGCAGCACTGCAACTGGACTTGGCCCCTGATGGCATGTATGGGAGACTGCCAGCCTCCAGTGGCCCCAAGGCTGTCCTGTTTCTGAAAGACCCGGGAGGTGTATGGCAGGGAGAGCCTCAATGGAGCTGAAGGCAACTGTCCTTCTAAGACAGTAAACAGTTTACGTGGCGGGGGTCTTTCTATAATATCCCCACACGGGAGAGGACGAGATGCCACACGGCTTGGTCCGTTGCCCAGAAAGAAAAGGCAGGCAGAGAACAGATATAATATTTCATCAAAGTTAACCCATACTAAGCATTTATGTGATAGGTGTCCTGCCAAGTAATTTATAATTACAGGTTAAATGTATTACTACCCTGAGGAGACAAAGGCTCAGAGAAATAAAGCAATCTGCCAGAAGCCACACAGCTACCGATGGGAAGATCCAGGATTCAAACGCAGACATGTTAGGCCCAGGGCCAGTGGGCTCTCCTCCACAAACGGTCCATGGAGAGGCCACAGGGGCCCTGAAGGATCAGACCGACAGGCCCCATCACTCTGGGCCCAATGGCAAAGCCACCTCCCCGCTGAGCCAGAACCTCCCCAGACACACTCCTGATGGAAGGGAGACAATGCACTAAGTGGCCTCTGACCCCACGCGAGAGGAGGAGACGGTCCTGCTGCCTGAGGCATCCTTGTCCTCCGTCCCTAGACGGGCCTCCCTCTCCGCTGCCCCGCGCGGTCCCCTGCCACCCAGGCCGCTCACCGGGTGCTTCAGCCAGTGATCCTTAATGGCAGGCCGCATCTTCTTGTGCACGACAACCTCTTGCAGCTCTTCCAGGGACGGGTGCTGGCCGATCTCTTCCTCAAAGGGCAGCATGTACTCATCCACAGGGCCTGGGGGGGATAGAGAGCCCAGCAGGGTCACCCCGAGGGCTCATGGCCCCCGAGCCCACAGCCCAGAAACTCGAGGCTGCCGCCTCACTCACCATCCGCAGCTTTGCAGCGGGACACGAGCTCCCACAGCACCAGCCCCATGGCGTACATGTCGATACGCAGGAAGGCGTCTCTCTGGAAGTTGATGGCTCCCTCCAGCACCTCAGGGGCCATGTACCGCCGCGTGCCCACCTACACGAAGACAGAGCAGGGGGCCCATCGTAACCACAGCACACGAGAGCCCCGCCCAAGCCCACTAGACGGGGCTAGGACAGCAGCACTCACAGGACACCGCTGGGGACAACAGCCCTTGCCTCACCACACTCGTGGGGAGCTCACGAGAGGTCACGGTGTACGTACAACACCCCAAGGAGAACTGAAAAACACCACACACTCAACATGACAGGACTCTCACACGGAACTGCTGCCTATTTCCTCGAAACACCAGCACTGCGAGGGGCTACCCATTTGGTGTGCATTTTCCTGAGACTAAGATCAAAAACAGAGAGGCTGAAAAATACTTAAAAATATTGACAGCAATTGTTCTAGGAGGATTTCTTCAGGCTTAACTTTTAGGTATGTTTTCTAGGTTTTTGGTTTGGATTCTTAATAGAGCTCCTTCTATATTATATTGCTTTACAATTCTGCTGAAAGGGAAAAGAGAGACTGAGGCTGCAAGGATGAGTACCGACCCCAGTGGGGAAGCTGGGTCTGACTAACTGGCCTTCAGGGCTGTGCTACCCTCCAGGGCTGGCCTGCCCCACGGGGAAGACAAGTGTTGCTCCCGGAGTTCCCAGACAGCTCTGAGCTCACAGCGACCCTTGCCCCTGTGTCTTGCCAGTTGGGCCCCAGAAGGGCAGTGTCCACCCCTGTGCCAGCCCCCCTCCTGTACCCCTGAGGCTCATTACCTGCCCGTGAGTGTCCCCTGGAGGTTTCCCCGGCTCAAACCGAACAGCCAGACCAAAGTCAGCCAGCACGGCTGTGAGGTCACTCTTGAGCAATACATTCTTGCTTTTGAAGTCCCTGAGGAGACAAGTGGACTGAGATGAAGAGGAATGCTGTGCTTCCTGCTCCTGGCTTCCCACCTTGACCCTGAGATACTGGAGCCTGTGCCTTCCAGCCCCCAGAGACCTAGACCAGGCCATCGCACCCTATCTGGAAGCAGGGCCTACACCAGGATAGGGTTCTATGAGGCTGCACAGGCAGGCTGCTTTGGGACACCCTTCCACCCCTCACCCCCCTCAATGTCAGAATCCCTCAATATATTTCTGCCACAGCTGTCAGAGCAACACCGATCACAATGGCTGGGCAGACCCCATTCCAGTCCCCGTAGTATCAAAGGCCAGCCTCTGTGTTCTCGGAGGGGCCAAGGTCAGGCCTACTGTCCTGGGATGAAGGCTTCTGGGGAAAAATGTCCATAAGCCGGGATGGGAGTGACACGAAGAATGAACCTGCCCAGGTTTCTGCACAAGCCCAAGGAGCTTCATCAGGGTAGAGCTGGGCGCTGGTGTGCACGTTCAGCTCCGCCTTGTGCTAGCAGGGGTGCGTGCGCTCCTCGGTCTCCCCAGTGCCTGTGTCAGTCTTGTTGTGAGGAATGAAGTTCAGGGAGCAATAAGTGCACATGCTCAGGGCCACCCAGCTCACTTACTGAGCACTACCGTTAGGTCAAACCATACGGAAGAGTCAATATTCAACTACTTTTGACCTACAAAAATCACAACTTCACACTGTCAGCCTTAAATGTCATTGATGTTATTACCATGAGGGGCCCCTGAGCTTTGAGTCCTGGAACCCGAGACTCATTCCCCTCCCTTGTAGGCACAGAGCCACCCTACACCAAGTCTGATGGCCAACCTCTCAGCTTCTCTGCACTACCGTCCTTGCTCTGTATGATGGAGCTGAGAAACACCCTCATCTCACAGACGACGAGCGTCTGTGAGATACTAAGACGAACCTGGCCTTGTGTTTCTGAGCGTTCAGAGCAGTGCCGGCACTGAGTGAGGACTGTGATGACCAGTCACTACAGCAGTCCTCAAGGGGTAGCCCCAGAACCCCAAAGAGTCCCTGACACTATTTCAGGGGAACTGCAAGACCAGAATTCTTTTCATTCATAATCCATTCTTTGTCTTTGTAAATTCATTCTCAGGAGAAGAGTGTTCCAGCGGCTACATACATGGAATATCATCACTCTGAGTTAACAGAACGTGAGTACTCTGACACAGCAAATATCTGTAGACATAACCCATGTACACAGAAGCTCTCTTTAAGACTGTAAAGAGACCCTGGGGCCCCTGGGTGGTTCAGTGGGTTAAGCATATGACTTGACTTCCGCTCAGGTCATGATCTCAGGGTGATGACATGTGGCCATGCTGGGCATGGAACCTACTTCAGATTCTCTCTCTCTCTCTCTCTCTCTCTCTCCCCCCCCCTCCGCCCTTTCCCCCACCACCAAGCACAGGTGTGTACTCTCTCTCTCTCTCTCTCAGGAAAAAAAAAAAAAAGAAAGAAAGAAAGAAATGTAAACAGATCCTAACCTAAAAGTTTGAGAACTACTGAACCAACCTTCCAACAGAAGTAATGGGAGTCAGCACTTCCTCATGTGGCCACCAGAGGGCATGAGAAAACCAGCTTTCGAGGAAAGGGTGGAAGGGTGGGGTAGGGCCAGATGGCCCCCCACCACAGAGCAGCTAAGCATCTATGAAATGGAAAAGCCCCCTGCCCCAACCCCAGGCCCTGTTCTCACCCTCCAACCCTCTACAGCTCCACACCAAGCACAAGGAGGGCAACTGCTAAGCCAGGTACCTGTGGGCAATAGATGGCTTGTGGCCCTCTCCACGGCACCAGGGCACGTCCTCATGAAGGTACGAGAGGCCTCTTGACATTGTCTCTGCCACGTGACACAGTTCATTCCACGTGATGATGTTCCCCTTGAGGTAATCCGTGAGGGAGCCCTACAGGAGACAGCACAGAACTTGGGCACAGGCTCCGGGAATAGAACAGGACCCAGCCGGGCTCCAGGAGGACTGTCTCAGTGGACAGAGGCAGGCTCCCCTCCTGGGAGACTGTGATCGACATGGAAGGTATGTGAAGCTAAGAGGGTTGGGACCCTCTGGGGGTCAAAGGGTGTTAATCACGAAGTCACTGCACTTATTCCTAAGAATCTATCCCAGAGTTAGAGGAGTTCTTGTAGGCACTCATGTCCACACTGAGGAAGGGTCACCCTAGGGTGGAAGGCCACCTCGTCTCAGGAGCCCATAGCCTGTCACAGGCTGTCCACAGCCTGACTCACCTTGTCATGGAAGGCCGTGATGAGCCAGAGCTCCACCTCCAGGCTGGAGCCTCGCTTCTCAGCGGCAATGAACTGCAGCAGGTTTTCGTGCTTCATGCCAGGTGTGCTGAAGATCTCCCGTTCACTCTGCCATGACTGCTTGTCCTAAGGCAGGGATGCGGCTAAGCCCCGCTGCCGCCATGCCACCCTGCAGCAAGACCGCCACCCCAGCCATCTGCAATCCCCCACCCCAGACCAGCCTCAGCTCCGTAGGGAGGCAGGCAGATGACCAGAACTGAGCTGGGCCCCAGAGCAGAGGTCAACGGTGATCCCAGAGATCACTTAGGGCTACATTTACCTGATTTACAAACAAGGACACTAAGTAAGGCCCAGGGAGGGAAGTGAGGGGCCCACTGCACCCACCAAATGAGATGCAGAGCCAGGCCTGGCTTTGCTAAGTGTTTTGGGCACCTGCTGGGGTAGCCTGGTGTCCGAGGCCTCTAAGCAGAACCTAATGTCAAAAACAAACCCCTGAAAACCAGAGTGGATCAAGGTTTTGCAAAGCCCAATCCCAGCCCTACAAGAAAATACCAGTGCGGCCCGCCTCTCTCTCATCCCACCTGCACAAGCCTGATGGCCCTGGAATGGGACAGCTCCAGCTGGACAGCACAGGTGGATGACCTGGAAGCCCCTTGCTCACCTACCTGGAGTGGGAAGATCTTGACAGCCACGAAGTCATTCATGAGCTGCGCCTTCCAGACACAGCCAAAGCGCCCCCGAGCCTTGATCTCCAGCAGCTGCAGAGGCTTCAGGCCAACCAGAGGGGACGGAGGTGGAGGTCCAGGGTCCTGGGGAAGAGGGAGGGCTTACGAGGGTCTGGCCGGGTCACCCCACCTCTACCCCTGCCCTTCACCAGCCCTGTCTCACCTCGTGGATGTCCACATGGCCGTAGGGAGGCTTGCGATGCCGATACATCCAGAAGGCCAGCAGGACGATGAGGGATAGTCCCCCAATGGGCAGCAGCGAATAAGCCAGCACCGTGAGCAGGGTGGGGGCTGTCGGGGGTGGCTCGTACGTGACTAGGGGACACATGGAGCCCTGTGTCACACAGCCTGCCCACCCACACATCTCAGGGGCCAGACCAGAGAGCCCCACAGCCACTTCCCACCCAACTCCAGAGCTGAAAGGAGAGAGCTCCAGGGCCAAGGAGGGGCCCCAGCCTGCCCTCCCGCGGCCCTCACCTTCTGGGCCCCCAGCCTCCGGCAAGTGGGTGAAACGCTCGTTGCAGAAGTTGCCTTCACAGCAGCAGAAGTACACCTGGGGGTTCTCCTCGGTGGCCACACACTCCTGCCTGGAGGCACACAGTTTCCCGTGGACCCCTCAGCTGAGGGATGCAAGACTCACTGGGGCCTGCCCAGCTAAGCCCTCCCCAGCGACAGAGAAGCTCAGGGGTAGCCATCAGGGGACAGTGTGAACCCACCTCCCCTAAAGTGGGACCCAAATGTCGGGCAGGAGAGCATGGTTCCACACAAAGAGCTCTCCTTTGCACTGGGACAGGGCACACACATCTGCGGGACAGCTAGGACCCTGGCACCATCCCTACTTGACCAAGCTGTCAGGAGAGGCCCCCGTCTCCCCCTACCCTAAAATGCCAGGCTCGCTTTCACATCCTGAGGCCTAGAGGGCCCTGTAGCCACAGGCAGGCTCCAGTGGGACTTGGGGGGCAAATGGGAGGGGAGGGCAGGCTCCAGCAGGACTGAATTGGGGGTGGTTGGAGGGTAGGTGCCAGTGGGACTGAGGCAGGGGTGGAGCCAGAAGGGAGGACAGACACCCCCCCTCCCCGGGCTCCAAGAGTGGAGGGTGGGTTCCAGTGGGACTGGGGGTAGGGGGGGACTCCAGTAGGACTAAGGCAGAGGTGTGCCGGGAGGGGAGGACAGGCTCGCCCCAGGCTGCAGGGTTAGGGGAGTGGAGGGTGGACTCCAGGGGGACAGGGTGGGGCATTCCAGTAGGACTGAGGCAGGGGTGGTGCCGGGAGGGGAGGACAGACTCCAGCGCGCTGAGGGGATGGGGGGCAGCGAGGGCGGGCCCCGGGCTCCAGGCACCTGTCGTAGCAGTTGAAGTCGTCCAGCCAGCAGCCCTTCTTGACGAGCTCGATGGTGCCGGAGCTGTTGCGCCAGGAGGCGTAGCAGTGCAGCCGCTTGTCCTGCTCGCCCTCGCAGCGCTCCAGGCCGCTCTGGTTGGTGCGCTCCAGCTCCCAGTTGGCGTTGTAGTAAATGCACTCCCGAGTCTCGGCCTCCCCGCGCCCGGAACCTGTGCCCGGGAAGCGAGAGAAGGGCTGAGCGGTCCACAAACCCCTGTGCCTGCCTGTCCTGAGTCCCTGGCCACCCTGAGGGGGACTGGGTGTGGGGGAGGGTGTCAAACAGCCAGATTGATGGCCACACGCACAGAAAGGGGCTCCACAGATGCCTGAGCCTCCTGTGTGGGGGTGGGGATGGCTCCCTTGCTGCAGCAGAAGTGGGGAGCCCTCAAAACCCCCATGCGCAGCAGGATCACTGTCTGTGTTGAGGGGAGGGGAAACTGCTAAAAGTACCTATTCCTGGGCCTCGCCCATATTGGACAATTGAAAGGGGGGCAGATTCTACCACAGTTTTAAACACCACCACCCTCCACCTCCAGGCCCCCGCCCCCAGAACCTCCAGTGGCTCTGATGCAGACCTCAAGGACCATGTCTGGGCAAACTCCCAGAGGCAGCTTCCCACTGCTACTGTCCACCTCACCCCAGGAGACTCACTGCTTGTGTGTCCCCCACCCCACCTCAGACCCTCCAGTCCAGTGTCCTTCCTGCCTCCAGCAACAACACCTGGTGCTCAGCAGGGCAGGAGAAGGTCCTAAGAAGCAGGCCAGCATGCTCAGGGCAAGTCTCCCAAAGTCGCCACAGGGAGTATGTGCCCCAAGCAGAAAGAGGGCTGGCCGGTGGCTAGAAACGATTAACAGAATCCTCCCAGCTGGGCTTGGCCCCTGAAGACCCCTGTGAGCACTCCCCACTATTCCTGTGCCCTCTTCCACCCCCTACATGAGTGCCATCCAGGTAGCCAAACACTTCAACTCCCAACTGCCCCCTTCAAATATTCTCCTTCCAAATATATTCCTTTCCAAATATGGCCTCAAACATTCACCAAATCCATCTTTCTCACTAACCCCTCTCAGGCAACCCTGCCCAGCCCTCCTATCTGCCCCACTGGCCCCCAGTCCCCCAAAGCCTTGTAATGGGAAGGAGGAAGGAGATGCTAAAGGAGGTTCCCAGGAAACAGATTATGGCCCCTGCCTGAAGCCTGGGCTAAAGAGCTCTCCAGAACTCAGAACTACTATGGTCCCTTTACAGACACCCATGATCAACCTCACTGCCAAAAACCACATAGACACCCGAGAGGAAACCAGCGCCAAGCATCCACCTAACCTCTCCACTCTTCCTGGGCCTACTGCAAGCCAGGGACCTGATGCCACCCCAGGTGGTATTCCTGCCCCAGGAAGGAGGAAGAAAGGGTCAGAGTCACCCCCACCGATGGACAGTCAGCCAGCCCACCAGCAACCAGGAGAGAAGACCCCATCCTGAGGTCAGTGCCCTGAGTCGTAACAGCCCAAAGCCTCCCTAATCCTCCACTCCACAGCCATGGTTATCACAGTGAAGAAGTTGATATGCACAGTACACCCCAGAAGGACAATGACTGGCTGTCAGGAGGGAAGGGTCCCCCACTGCAGATCGTTCTCTAGTCAACCCACCCCTTCTGAGCTCTCTGCAGGGACAAGAGGTTCCCCCAGAGGCCAGAGGCAAACAGCACATGTCAAACCTCCAGGTAGGAGCACGTACGGCTCAGAATGCCATCCTATCAGAATGCCAGCGTCTAGCCATGGCTCCGGCATGCAAGGACACCCGTAAGAAGAAAAAGAGTGGCCTCCCCACCACCCAGGCAGCTGGGACCCAGCCTGGTCCACAGGAAGGGCGTCACACAAAGGCCTAAGGCTTGAGGGGAGAACCGGAAGGGATGGGGGGGAGCTGTAGAGAGGGGGGCCGGCCACTCCTCAATCTTGCTTCCCCCACTGCTGTCGTACCACACTGCCAGGCCCCTGAACATGCTCTGCTTCTGGACTTAGCACAAGTTACTACCTCTGGCTGCAGGATGCTCCCTACTTTCTCCTTTAAATTCTGGCTCTCCTCTCCCCAGAGACCAGGCAAACTCTTTACTGCTTCCTCCACCACCTCATTTACCACTCTGGACCAACGGCCTGTTGTTTTTTAAAGGACTGCTTCAGACATTCAAAACGTGTAAAAATAATGTAACCAAAGACAACCTCCAAGAGAAAATAACACAGTGAACACTCATATTAAGAAATAAAACATTATAAGTGTACTTGAAAGTCCCTTTGAAATGTCAGCCTTCCCCCCATGAGCCTGCAAGGCTGATGAAGGCACAAGCCTGACTATCTTGAGTGCTAGAACCAGTTCCAGACACATGACACGTAGACAGAGGGAAGAACGAATGGACAGACAGAAGGCCATGGTCATCACCTGGCGAGGGCAGAACTTCGAAGGGAAGGGATGACAGGAGGTGTGGCCTGAACCTGCAGCCCAGACTGAGGGTCCCTCAACGGAGTTCCCATCTCCAAGCAGAAAATAAGCAACAAGCCCTCTGTGCAAGGCAAGGAGTCCCAACACTGACAGTGGCCACGGCCAGCCCAGCTCCTCTCCTCATGCCACTCACCAAGCAGAGGTTCCTCTGGCCATTACCACGGGCAGGACCCGAGTGGACAGGGCTGATGAGGCCAAAGCTCCAGGTAAGACCCAAGGGCTCAGAATCTAAGTGGACCCCCGACCCCGACCAGATCCTCTTGCAGACAACTGAGAGTAAGGCAGACTCGGGCAGGCTGAGAGTACTTTAATAGGTACCATTTATGCTAATTCATTCAAATCCTAGCTGTAACACTTCCTGGGTGAGTTAACAATCCACCTTGTGCCTCTGTTTCCTCGTGTGAAAAAGGGTTGATAAAAGCACCTAATTCCTCAGGCTGTTCCCAAGCCAAAGAGCTGATGTGTTTTAAGAGTGGTTATGACAGTGCCCGGCACATTAGCTGTCACATGAAGAGCCGCACCCCCCCCTGCTGCCCGTGACAGTCCTTCACATTACAAGCCCCCAGGAGGGCTCCCAGCACCTCCAAAAGATTCGCACTCAGAGCCCAGGAGAACCTGCAAACCTGGGAGGCTCCATATCCCTCCCATACCACGCCCAGGCCCTGCTTGCCAACTGCAAATCCAGGGCCTCCCCCTTTCTCCCTCCTCCTCATGCTGGCTTCTGCACACACTCAGCTATTTATAGCCTCTGGCAACACTCCAACCACAAGGCAGCCTCTGCCTTTTAATAGACATAGGGTTCCTGCCCACGCCTGCTCACATGAGGTTCCCCGACCCCCACCCACTCACCCCCACCCACTCACTCGCCTATCCCAGCAGGAGAGGAAGCTGTACTCCCAAGATGGGGTGACAGCATACCCCCCCATATTTGCTACCTCAGAGCCCTGAGGGCAGCCTACCTCCCAGATACCTGGGCAAGTGGCTCACTCCATCCCTGAGTCACAGCCAACCCAACTGCTGGCCTCCAGATGAACTATGGATACAAGTAGCAGTGTCCCCAACAGGCAGTCCCTAGATTCCAAGGGGCTTAGACTTTGTTGGAAAGAACACCCCTGTATTCCCCAAGCCCTCAGCCCAGGTGGGCAGAGAAACCCCACTCCTGGTCACATACCACCCCCGAGAAATACACACTCCACTCTGAACCAACATTCCGGAGCTTGCCCTAAAAAGACCAGTTCTGAAACTCGAAGACAAGCACAGGGACGTGTTTCCCAGTCCAGCTGGCCTTGGACACAGCCCACTATGTGCTGGGGGGATGCAGGGGAAAGCCCACCCAGATACTGCCTGGGAGGCACTGGAAGCACAACAGGGAGGGAAGAGTGACAGAGGGATGCAGAAGTGGGGGGGCGATTAAGGCACAGCCCGCGCAGGAGGGTATGGAGCTAGCGTGGCCACACCTCCCCTGGGGCTCCCTGAGCTCTGGGCTTGGGGTACATCCAGCCCGGCCAACATCTCCCAGAGCAGCTTCAGACCCCAGCAACCAGCAACCGGCTGCACTCTACCCTTGGCTCCTGAAGCCACTCGGCAGTCCCCCTCTCCCTCCACAGGAAGCAGATGCCCAGCCCCAACCACAGGGGCCCAGCCCCAACCACAGGGGCATCGTAGACCAGTGAGAAAGGGATGCAGCCCACCACATCCACCTCAGTCCTTTGCTGTCAGCATGCCAAGGTGCACCCTCCTCCCAGAAGCCTCCAGGCCTCCATACTTGAGAGGGGGCCAGTGCTCTCCCTTACTCCCCAGACTCCAGGTGGAGTGGCACAGACAGAGAGTGGGGCAGAACAGAATCCATGATGCATGTATACTTGTACCTTTGAACTGGCACACAACAGAAGAGCTCCAGCACGTTCCCAGCAGCCAAACAACCTCTTGACACACTGGCTTGTTTGACTTGACCCATTTATTTGTGAGCCATCCACACTGATACACATTCATTTAACAAACACATAGCAGGCACTAAACTAAGCATTTTGCAAATAATTATTTAGGGGTGCCTGGGTGGTTAAGCATCCAACTCTTGATTTCGGCTCAGGTCATCATCTCAGGGTTATGAGATTGAGCCCAGGTAGGGCTCCACACCTTAAGATTTTTTCTCTCCCTCTCCCGCTACCCCTCCCCCCCCTCAAATAAACAGATAAGTAAATAAATAAATGTATCCTAAGCTGAGGCACAATGAGGTGAAGTATCTTCCCCAAGTAACTACCAAGTGTCAAAACCAGGCAGCCTGGTTTTGGAACCCAAGCAGCCCGGCTCCGCAGTCCGAGCTCACAAGGGAAGTGGCCAGCCCCCCACTGCACTTCTAGGTTATTTACAAGGGGTAAGGATCTGAGCGCAGCCACCAGGAAGCCTCTGGACTTGTCCTGTGTGTTTTCTTGTGCTCACACGCGGGCAGGCAGAGGGTATGTTAGAGATGCTGGGTCCTATCATAAGGTAGGAGCATCTTCAACTCACCTGAGACTGTCAAACTTTTCTCCCAAGGACCCATTTGGATGTACCAATTCATGTTCCCAGAAGACTACAGCCCCACTAAGCTACACATTCACCCCAGTATTTGCTCATCTGATCAGTTATGAAACGGTGTAGGAGAGTTTTGATCCCCATTTCTCAATTATGTGTGAAACTGATC